AGAGGATGCTGATCAGAGTTGCTGATACAGAGGGTCCAGTCTGGTATGGTTACTACTACAGTCTACAATCACATCAGTATTGGTGTACTTAATATTTTTAAATCATACTTGCTCATCAATGTATCTATTTCCTTTACCAGGTACCCCTTCATTCCTAAATGAGTGTACCTATGGCCCTTTTTTGCTGTTCTTGATTGAGTATCCCTGTTAGTATGATTATTGCTGTGTAGGGCTGTCTACAATTTGTACCAGAATACTTATTTTCACTACTATTAATGCTAGTATTGGCTACTTGTTGGATCCGTCATAGGGGGGACTTGTTGATAGGGAGGCTGATATGAGTTGCTAGTGATACCACAGAGGACGATGATGCTGAGATGAGTTGAAACCATATGGTAGCAGAATCATTGTTCCACAATAATGATTTATCCAAGGTTATTTGAGAGTAATACTATTTACATGTGTAAATCAAGAGTTTTGATTCCAGGAGCCACAACTGTTGAGGTTGTGTATCACACCCCCAGAGTAAAAATATTAAGCGGTGGTTGGGCAGAGTGAACAAATGGACTCACAACAACCAAGATCTGTGTATTTGAGATACATAAAATGAGCCAGCTGGTAAAAAAAACAATTAATGTTATTGGGAATCAACCAATGTATTTTGTAGTCAAAACACAAAATTTGATGCCTTCACTCCCAAATGTTATTCTATCATTGAATCAAACTAGCACTAGTCAAAACACAAGAAATTGCTCTTTCTTCATGCGTGAATAATAAAATTTTGTACTTCCTCCGTCCAAGAATCATAATCCCCTAAGAACAAGCTTACTAGTACTACTGAAATAAGCTCAATATATCATGGCTGATTTGGATGGTTCTTTTCTTCTTCTATTTGTCTTATTGAATACTATTCAAATGTATTGTGCCATCAATTGCCATATAAGCAATAATAAAGTTTTAAGCCTTCAAACAGAGCCTTTAAATCATGCAATTTTGATTGTACGGGTTGAAAGGGTTCCAACAGTCATTTTGATATGCTGCTACTACTACTACTTGCACATTGTATCTAAGATAGAGTTGTTCTTGAGGCTATACTTCAAATCAATAAATTTCATTCTTATATTGGTCATTTGTATTCAAAAGAGGTGCACCATACCATTGTCAAAATTGAATTTGCCTTGTTAATAGGGTGTATTTTCATGTGTCAAAAATTAACTTTGAATCACGCACATGCAAATTCCTCTTCACATAGATGTGAACATTGGTGGGTGTTTTTTTTTTCAAAAAACCTTTCAGGCTTGTTGATTTCTTGAAGCACTGAAAAGAAAAAAATTATCATTCAATCATCCCCAACACAGAAAGCTGTCACTCCTCAATTTCTTCATCAATACCCAACCAATCACACTCACAAGACAAGTGTTCTAATCCTTACATTAGTRAGGGGAAAAGGATTTGGAAGTTGCAGATTGATCAACGGAGTGGTTTGGAAGGAACAGCACTATAATAGCAGCAGACAAATTGATGAAAAATCGCAACAAAAAGTAGCTCCATTTCAACCAGCAAAATAGCATCTTTCCCTCCATAACATAGACAATCAGTGTGTCAAACTTCCTTAATACATCAAATTAGAGATGATCCAGAAGTTTTGGAGCAATCGATTGAGCATTTTGAAGAAAAGCAGTCTTTTGTTGTATTTTGGACAATGAACAACAGCAACAACAGCAACAACAG